AGGTACACCCCTAAGATATCATCCCTGTACCATCGGTAGGTACACCCCTAAGATATCATCCCTGTACCATCCAGAGGTACACCCCTAAGATATCATCCCTGTACCATCCATAGGTACACCCCTAAGATATCATCCCTGTACCATCAGTAGGTACACCCCTAAGATATCATCCCTGTACCATCAGTAGGTACACAACTAAGATATCATCACTGTACCATCAGTAGGTACACCACTAAGATATCATCCCTGTACCATCGGTAGGTACACCCCTAAGATATCACCCCTGTACCATCGGTAGGTACACCCCTAAGATATCACCCCTGTATCATTGGTAGCTACACCCTGAAGATATCTTTGTAACCAGTGTTTTATGATGGATGTTTATATGAATGTGATGTTTTGTATGTCTTTTCACTTCCTATTTCACTGAAGCCTTAAAAATGTTGATTTTATCTAATAGATCATGTTTTTGTCACTTTTCTTCAGATGGGTTTTTGTCTTCTTCTTTGACCAGTGAGGTTAGTACATTTAAGCATCTTACATAGCACTGTATATACAGAAAGCATTTTTATATGGCTTTAAGTACTGAAATTATTTTACTAAAGATTTCAAATTTAATTCGATAAATATCGGTATCTTCAGACTTCAATACCTGATGAAAAGACTGCAAAGAAACCRTCCAAKCAGGAAGRAGGAGGTCTGTTTGATGAAGATGAAGATGAYGGCTTGTTTGCTGAATCAGACAAAAAAGTCAAAGGTATAGCAAAATAAACAAAGACTGAAAAAAATAACCAAGAAACATTTATAGTCTCAGAGATCATAGCTAGAAAGGATAATAAAGATTGCAAAAACAGTCTGTTGCATAGAYATATCTGTCATCTTGTCATGTGAACAAAGAGATGATTGTTTATTGTTTTCAGCCGAGACATCCAAACCAGTTAGTAAAAAGTCGTCCAATGTTGGAGGTTTGTTTGGTGGTGATGAAGAGGAGGAGGAAGAAGAAAAAGATGGACTGTTTTCTGGTGCATCACAACCTGTGCAAGCTCCACCTAAAAAGAAGGTGTGGTTTTGAATGGACTCATCTTAACTCTAACATCAACTGAATTATCCAACATGCTTTAATACTGTTGATCTTTCAGATACCAGCTGGTGCAGTTTCCATATTTGGCAATCAATCTCCTCTAGGAAAGGTAAAGAGAACATGATACACATGTCATTTTGATGTCAACATGAGTGCGTTTGTGCAGTGAATGTATTATTTGGTGCAGAGAGGGAAGGTTGCATCTGATGCTCTTTCATTATCTATGCCTTACCATGGATCCCATGTACTCCTTAATTGTGAAGTATTGAATTAAAAACGATGACCAAAGAGAAAGAATTACTGAAAGAATTTGATTAAAATAAAATGTCTCATACTGTAGCCTGCTGCAGAGAGAAAAGAAACCAAACSMAAAACAGGAGGTGGTTTGTTTAGTGATGATGATGGTGATGAATCGGGTGGTCTGTTTGAATCAAATGCTGCACCTAAGCCACAAACCACTAAAACAGAGTCCAGACCCAAGAGTAAAACTACCATAAGTCTRTTTGATGATGATGAACAAGATGATGACTTCTTTGCACCACCTACACCTAAACCAACCAGTGACRCTACTAAAAAMAYAACTAATAATGGAGTTACTGAAGAGGTAAAGAGACGTRTATCACTTTGGTAATMGATGTGTAGGCCATTGCTTTTGCGACAATGYATGTTACTGAAATTAAGAATGCCAMTYATYGGTTTTGTCATTTTTACTCAGAAAAACAAACCCAAAACGACCAAGTCATCAGGGTTATTTGATGATGATGAAGATGACCTTTTTGATTCACCTGCACCTACTCGCAAAGCAACAAGTAATGCCAC